GAAGGGATTGCTGAGAGAAAATCACGAGGTAACCAATGAGCTGGCTTAATGAAACCGCGTTTTAATTGGCTTCTGCCCGTTGACCATTCGGACGTGATTGAACCTGCGTATGTAAGAGGCTCACAGGTTCACGGACGCGCACACAAGCCATCACACCTTGTATCAATGCTTTGAAACCCTCGGTTGTTTGGAAGCCGGAAACGGTCTATAACCGAATAATATATAGTTGTCTCCTTTGGTCGATACGTTATCATCTCTAAGAGCTTGTCAGAGCCACGCGTCTGCTGCTGCTGTGCTAAAAGCAATACCCCTCATCCACTACATCTTGAGCCGATGTTCGCCTCTGTTTGGACTATACGGTGAAACCAATTTGGACATCCCCAAATGATATGATGTGATGAAATCGGCCACAGGTGAGCGAGGTGTTGCAAATGAACCGGCAAATAGTGTAGTAGTAGATCGTCCGTTGATCACCTCTATTCATACTGTTGTCAACTGATGCACCATAAACTCCTGAATCGGTTCATTTTTTTCTGTTTCTTGTTGGGCACTATTGTGCTCATTCAGTGCTGTGGTTCCTGGTCATTGACAACTAAAAAATCCATTGATCTTTCTCTCGCTTAAGGATGTCCAGCCTCTTTCGCGATACATTTGGCGCGACTGCCGAATCAGCGGCACCTGATGCTCCTCCCCCCGCAGCACCTCAACCGGATGCAAACGGCACACAGCCCCCTACTGGTGGTAGTTCGGGCAATATGGACCAATTCATGCGAGTGTGAGTATGGTCTGTTTGCCAAGTTCTTTAACAGGTTTACTTTCTCCCGGTCTATTCCCGGTGATTTGTTTTCGTCTTCTGGTTGACGATTTTATGTTAACCCTCCGAATTAGTTGATTGCTAGCTGGTTCCGGTGTTCGTTGAATTTCTTATTTTGCCTTAACTCAAAGCCCCCCACCCCCGAATTCAGTGACTGGTTTTGTGTGACAAGATATAATTTCATCGCGATCTTTTCTTTGTGAAACGATCAGCTGCGTATGCATGATTTTTCAGTAGGCTCACGCGATTCACAACCCCAAACCGATCATTGATCTGAGTTGAAAGGCCGGCTAGTTTTTGTCTGAATAAGCTCTTCAACCTATGCATTGTGAATGACATTTTGACTGATGATGAATGGTCTCAGTTATTGGTCGGTATATGTTATGCGTAGATTTTCCGCGTTGTTCAAAAGTAGCGATTTTGACCGAACCATTTGCCATCCTCTCCGTTTGTAACTTTGTCTCACCTAGTACTCTTGCCAGAGGTTCTTCATTCTTACACGGGAAAGTATACCTTCGGGTTAAACAGAGCTGAATGCTGCCAGCCCCTTCCCCGGGTTGTGGATAAGGGGGTACCTTCACCGAAAAAAGGTTAACTGTGAATATGTTGTGCCATACCCCAACAAATAAGCAGTCGCAAACAAACAGCGGCGGCACTTCCAGGGTTTGGTGGGTTTCAGGCTGATCACCTGGCTCCTGTTTAAAAGCCGCATAAGTCTAATGACGGTGTCGTGATAAAGGTCGATGCGGCTGACCTTTTAAAACTAAAGTCACTACCCCCCTCACTTCCGAGTCGAGGGATTAATTTCTGCTGCCTTGCGGTTCGCACTTGGTTGTGCAAAGGCTAGAGGTGCGTCCTCAAAATAAAAGCACCGAGTGACGCTGGGGTCGTCTCTCGTACCGAACTCCCAAGGAAATTCAAGATCATATCTACTACGACGGCAATCAGAGACATTCATGGAGCCGGCTTATCCTTTCCAAGGAGCCAACCGTAGTGAAGTAAAGTATAATACTTTTGTTCGACAGAGGCGATATAGCACGTTTGTTAACAAACGCTGCCAATCAGTGTTGATTTTGTGTGACTCAATTAAGGAAGCTGGCTATCTTTGAGGACATGGCTTCGGATCACCGATGCTGAATTACCACGACACCAGATGCTTATCGAAGCGACGCATCCTCCCGTGAGAGTTAGCTGAAGCAATTACGCAAGAGCGGGGTTGGTTACACTAAAAGTCAAAAATAAGTTATATGCACCAAACAACCGGTGAAATATGCACGTTAATTCATAAGATACAACGAAAGTGTATCTGGAACGGCCCGTCCGTCGTTCATCCTACGTCGCGTGGTTCACATGGTATTTCCAAAGCAGGAACTCATCTTACGCCCACCAACGAAACAACAATAATTACAGAGCACGAAGGGGTTGTGACACAAAACAGAGAGTTATGGTTATGGTGGATAACAAGACTAACAATTTTTTGTTTGCTTCGCCGTACGCTTCTTGATCTTGATCTTTGTTAAGTGTTAGTACATTGTTTTTTATTGGGCGCGAGATTTCAACAGGTAAACAGCACAGCATTCGCACCACTGACTTACATTCTGAATCATATTTCCTGACCTCTCTAACCAGTGACAATCCTTGGAACCCGATCTGTAAGGCGGCCTACACCAACACACTGCGACAAGCCTCATTATTGCCCACCAGATACGGACAATGCTTCGGAGACATCGGTGGTCAGTTTCAGTTTGTATAACTATTAACCATGCATTATCGTGCGTCGGTTTTGGCTGCCCATTTGGACGAACATGAGGAGAAAGACAGGAAAGGTTGAAAATAGGATCAAAGAGAAAATTTAGAATTTCAGTTGATTAATGTTGCAGAGAGATTGACAAGATGCATGAACACTGATGTTCACGACACTCAGCCATATCACTCAGTATCTGTCACCATCGGGTACGATCATTCCGAGGAAGCCTAACGGGATCTATGTGACCCAAGCTCCTATTTAGGGTTTTCATACCCTCATGCCCGGTCTTAGCTTGTTCACCCTTGACTT